CCAACCACCACCCCAGCATCGTGCGTCGTGCATTTTCTCCCACCCCATCGAGCATGTCCCGCTGCCGTCCGCATCGAACAGGGCCTTCGCCCTTGCGCCTCGCCACCCATCTTCGCACCATGGCCCCCAGTTATCACCTTGATGCTCGCTCTCTGCCTTAGCTGGCCCTCCTCCGTCTCTGCAATGCCGCAGACCGCACTCCCCTCATCGCCCTTTCCCTAATACAGCGCTGCTTACTGACAGGTCCCCATCTGATCTGATACTATTCAAAGCTCTTCCCCTCCCCTACGGATTCTTGTCCCGGACCCAGAGACCTATTTTCTGATCTCTCTTCTACGCATCTTACATATCATGTTCCGTTGGCCGATGGGCTTCGAGATTCCCGGGTCCAGCTGCCAACACGATACCCTCTACCAACAATTCATTGTCCCTACGCACTGACAGGATCCATCACGCGATATCCCAGCGTTTCGGCCTTGTCTTTGTTTCCCTTTTCTTCCTTCGATCGCCTACATACCATGATCCATCCTCTTCCTTCCTTCTTTTCTTTCCCATAATAGAGTCAAGCAACTTACACTGAAACACATCCCCTCTCCGCAGAGCGGTAGCGCGACATCATGCCTTCCAACATGGGCGCCCCAGCTTTTAGCTTAAGAAAGCTGATGCAGACGCGCAAACACACCGAGGGCATTCCCGAGGAGGAAGCCGTTTCATTCACAGAACATTCATCACTATCTCAAATATCAAAGAAGAGCCTGGCCTCCCTCATGGCAACACGAAGAGGATCGGCATCACCCAGTGTATCAGTCCGGAGTAGCGTGGACGCCGGCCGGAGCACATTACAACAGCACTATTTAACAGCTCACCAGCGACATCAGTCCGAGGGTGTAAGGACTCGCCTCACCATCTCAGCACCCATCCCGAGAGCACCCTCTCCTCAAATCACAACTCCCCGGCGACGATCTGGCTCGGGCTCGGGTCCATCATCAACAGTACCGGAACGACCTCGGAGTCCGCTCTTAGACATGTCTCACCTTGACCATTCCAAGCGATCAATGGATGCGCCCAGAGTGCAGGAGGAGGAGACTGAAGTGATCGAGGAGGAGGAGATGGAGATCGAGGACCAGGAGGAAGAGGAGGAGGGAGAGGAAGAGGAGGAAGTATTGGACTCCTTTCTTCGAAGTCCCTCACCAACCATCTCTACCTTCAAGTCGCCTCAAATAGAGCCTCTCAACCTAAACTCAAATCACTCATCACTATCTTTAACGGTAGTACCGATGAACAGCACACCCTACGCCAGGGAATGGTCGGAGGGTGTCCGACAGCTCATTATGGAAACGGATCAAGCATTCGAATTCGGTGGATCTTCTCTGGGCGGTTTCTCCACGAGCCTAGATCTCCCTCGATTCGAGGAGTCCGTGTTCCTCGATGGTCACTTGAATATCTCCAACCCCGAACTCGTCTCTCCTAGGCTGATGGTTCACCCTCCCCAGGATGAATCCGAGTCTGAGGAAGAGGAGCAAGAGGAGGACGAAGAGGAAGAGGAGGAGGTAGTGGTAGAAGAGGAACCAATCGAGCCACAACAGCCGCCAGTCGAGGAGGAGCAACCGGAGGAACCAGAGCAGGAGGCCAGACCCTCGCAAGACCTTCCCGCCCGGAGACCCAGGGAACAGGCCAATCCCGACTTGGCCGAGAGGAGAAAATCACGCTCTGTACCACCCCCGATCGCTGTGCGAAAGGCGTCCTTGGATAAGGCTTTGCCCATCACTCCCACAACGGTTCTCACTCCTACTACCCAAAAACACCTGCTCAACGTCTCGCACAATATGACACCTCCCCTACCTAAACCTTCCAAGATGAGCCCCCGACTCCCTAGAATTGGTCGTCATGAAAGCACCATGAAGAAGGGCCACACTCGCAACAAGAGCGGCTCCGGCGAAGGAAAGTCATGGGCCCGACCCGTCACTTCAAAAGTCGCACGCTGGGCGCTGCCTGATAACATGACCGATCTCTTCACCGGCAAAGGCTTCCGCAAAGTCGAGGTCGACGAGATGCTTACGCCTCAGCAGCTTGCCCTCTTGAAGAAGGAACGCGAGATGGTCCGAAGGAAGCAAATTGCAAAGAACAACAAGGAGTGCCACGAGGCCGTAAAGAGAGAAACACTGGCCAAGCTGGAGCTCGAGGCTGCCGCCGCCAAGGCTGCTGCTCTCCGTGAGCAAGATGCCAGGGACGCTACCGCACTGGCCATTGCCAATGCCTCAATCGTCACTCCCGAGCTGTCACCTCAATCATTTGGATCACCTGCAGGCCCAGACCAGCCAGCTCAATTTGCTGTCTCGCCTCTCCTCTCTAGCGATTACGTCCAGGACGATGCCAACATTGCCCACGTGTTGGGCGACGAAAGCGACAGAGGCCTTGCAACCGTTGACCTCCTGGCCGTCCCTGAGGGTGCCGAGGTAGAGTTCATCGCCCCCTTGAGAGCGCCTCCTACCCAGAAGCTCCCTGATCTTCCCAAGGGTGCCAAACTCAAGAGAAAATTCAGCGACGAATTTTTGCCGGAGGAGGATGAGGATCACATTTACCTCAAGAGCACTCCCTTCTCCCTTACCCTCCCCGCATTCCGCCATGGACGGATCACCCTTCCCAAGGCCGACAAGGCCGCCGTGACGATGGACGAGACCCTGGACTGGACTGCCTTCCAGATGGCCATCCTTGGTGCTGGCGACATGGATAGCGACATGTTCGAGGACGAGGACATCCGACTTACCGAGGAGATTGCTTCATGGTTTGACCACTTCGGCTTCGAGCATGCTGGTATGCTCATCCCGGAGCTTATCCCTTCACCGCGATCTTCCCACAGCACAATCTCTTCGGTCGAATCCGAAGGAGACTTGTCAATCGCATCTGTCGATGAGCCACAGCCTCTGTTCTCCCACCCTGACGCCAGCCAGTTCGATAGCACCAAGTTCTTCCGAAGCACTGGTCTTCGCTCATGGACACTGGACGGTGCACCCAAGATGAACCGCGCATCTACCCCCCCACCTATGGCGCTCATGCACGCCGACCCAAAGCAGGGCATCGCATCACCCCGATCTGTCGTATCCCCTCGCAGCCCAATGGAGCCTTTGGTTCTCGGCGGCGACGATGGCGATGTCCTCGATGATGACCTCCACCACGAGGAGCAAGCCCAGATGGGCTACAACCTACACAACGACCTGGGCGACTTCCTCCAGTGGGAGGCACAGGCCTTTGGCGTTGGATACTACGGGGCTCATTAAACACAATGTTGCCTCCTATTCGCAACCGCTTTCCGAAGCTGGTTTTGCAAACTATTACAACTATATATTCCCTATGTCTTTTTTTCTTTGTCTTACCCGGCCATACACGGAGTTTGATCATGGGAAATACGGCGTTGATTCAAACCATGCATATTTGGGTCACATAGCCAACTCGTTTATTCTGCTTCTTTTCTCTGTTTTTTTTTTACCTTTACATTTTTTCATCCTGCTCTTTAGCCGAACCGGTCCGGCGTCATAGCATAATGCGCGCGGAGGTTCTTGATTTCGCTTCTTTTCCTTTTCTCTTCTCCGTCCCCTTTTTATTTTATGCTGGCATTCCGAACTGGTCTGGCTTTCTTTCCTATGTCTATAATGATACCAAACTGTTTATGAGGGAACCCAAAGAGCGGCGTGTACACATCTACGTTAACAAGCCATGACAATGAGCATTTCCATTGATCCTCTGGCATTTGATTTATTTATTAGTCCAAAAGACGGATATAAAAATACAAAAATCGAATTTCAAACAAACTTAATCTTCATTGTTCTCTGTCTATTTGTGGTGCTTGATGTGACTCCCTCGTATATGCTCATACTGACAGACTTTGATTTGACAAACGGACATAGGGCTGATCGCCGGGGAGAGCTTAGACTTCACTCGGGAGGTGTGCCTTGACCAACTTGCAACCTTCCGGATACCATCCTAGACGTCAGCGCAGCATCGCGTCGATTCTCGCACGATATGCCTTGGCGCCAGATCTGCAGCAGTGAAACACGTGTGGGAGGCGGAGGCTGGATGCGCCTCTTGGACTCGATACTACCTTGACTACGTAGCATTGTGTGGCCATCTGGGACATCTAGGGCTGTATGCAGCCCAGCGCAATCGCGTGAGGATCGCTCACTGAATGCTTCCCCTCACCACCAACTGGTGAGACAACCCACGCCACCGCGCCGATTTCTGCGACAACATCCATGGCTTCCCGATACCACTAGCGACTGCGAAGTGGTGGTCTGCACCATGCAATCAATCCTCTACGCTATGCTATCCTATCCTACAAGGGAAGGGGGGGGGAACTGGCTGCCTGGCGAGGGCGAGGCTAGCCAACACCGACAGATGCGAGACGGTCGCGTGGGGCTTTGCGGGAGGCTGTGAGAGTGCATGCATGCAAATGCAGTTCCTTTATTTTTAGGCCAGGCCCCGAGCTGAGCCGCCTTGCAAGAGCCGAGGGGGGACCCGTCCCCAACGTAAGCCGGGGATTTAATATATTGCCTACGTTTTGTCCATGGATGGCATTGACTAATACTGCGAGAAAGGCCCTGTTGTGCTCTAAATTAAGATGGAGGGCGTGATGTTTGTTGGTTGCTCGTAGCCAAACCAACAAGCGCTGCCGTTTCTTCCACTTTGGCGGGACGAGCAGAACAAGCGCCAACACCAACACACATCTGCCCCCCACCCACACCGTATTCTTACACCAGGACATATCCTCAACCCACAACAACCCTTTTGGCTATCCAAGAAGAGCAAACCGAGTAAGCCAGGCACCCCCTCCAAGAAACCAAGTCAAGGCCAGGAAGATAGCGGGACGGAAAATCAAACCACTGTCGATCCTCACCGCCAAGAAAGACCCCCCTCTCCCCCGCCAACAATCACCAAAGGAGGACAAAAAACAAAACAAGACCCCCATTGCAGAAAGAGCCGCAAGGGACAAATAAGAAGAAACCATGCTTCGCCGCCCGGCAACTTCCCTCACCATCACGTCCGAGGACGTCGCGGCCTACGAGGACCGCCGCAGCCGCGAGGCCATCGCCCTCGACCAGCAGCAACGGCAGCAGCAGCAGCAGCAGCAGGGGCAAGATGGCACCACCGCCTCCGGCAGCCCCAGCGCGGAGGACGTGCTTCGGCGGGCACGCGAGGAGAGAATCGGCGTGGGGAGGAGGCGCGGTGCTTGATCGGGAAGGTTGCCTCGGTCTTCGCCTTTTTTCTTCTTTAACCTTTTGGTTTCGTTTATTCTCGTTTCGGGCTAGGGGTGTGTGCGTGTTTGTTCCCCTTGCCCTTTCTTCAAACAGCACCCAGCCTGGATCAAGCAACTCTATTGTTTTCTACCTTCGCTTTTTGGTCTGAAAAGTTCGCCTCTTGTGACGATCACATTATCTACACCGAATCATAGCCTTGTCCTTCTTGCCCACCATTGTCCCAGTATCGTTTTGTTTCTCGACTGCGGCCCAGCTCCTCGGATTGTCTGAGAGGGCTTCCCGGGGAACAACGGCGCGGTGCTATTCTCGGAGGATCGGACCCGGGCGAAAGAGGATTCTGGGCCGGGCCCTTTTTCCCATGCACGTGTATGTAGGCATCTTTGTCCAGCCTCCTGCCCATCTTTTGGGAGGGGAGGGGAGGTGTGTGCCTTGAGGCTCCTCTTCCAAGATGGGTGGTCTCGTATATCAAAACGCCCCTAGCTTGGGGCGATCCTCCCGCCTTTATTCCTCTTCGTGGCC